GAGTGAGTGAGTGTGTGCGTGTGTGAGTGTGTGACTGTGTGTATGAGAGTGAGTGAGTGAGTGTGTGAGTGTGTGTGTGTGAGAGTGTGTGTGTGAGAGTGAGTGAGTGTGTGCGTGTGTGAGTGTGTGACTGTGTGTATGAGAGTGAGTGAGTGAGTGTGTGAGTGTGTGTGTGTGAGAGTGTGTGTGTGAGAGTGAGTGAGTGTGTGCGTGTGTGAGTGTGTGACTGTGTGTATGAGAGTGAGTGAGTGAGTGTGTGAGTGTGTGTGTGTGAGAGTGTGTGTGTGAGAGTGAGTGAGTGTGTGCGTGTGTGAGTGTGTGACTGTGTGTATGAGAGTGAGTGAGTGAGTGTGTGAGTGTGTGTGTGTGAGAGTGTGTGTGTGAGAGTGAGTGAGTGTGTGCGTGTGTGAGTGTGTGACTGTGTGTATGAGAGTGAGTGAGTGAGTGTGTGAGTGTGTGTGTGTGAGAGTGTGTGTGTGAGAGTGAGTGAGTGTGTGCGTGTGTGAGTGTGTGACTGTGTGTATGAGAGTGAGTGAGTGAGTGTGTGAGTGTGTGTGTGTGAGAGTGTGTGTGAGTGTGTGTGTGAGTGTGCGAGAGAGAGTGTGTGTGTGTGTGTGTGTGTGAGTGTGCGAGAGAGAGTGAGTGTGTGTGTGAGAGTGAGTGAGTGTGTGCGTGTGTGAGTGTGTGACTGTGTGTATGAGAGTGAGTGAGTGAGTGTGTGAGTGTGTGTGTGTGAGAGTGTGTGTGTGAGAGTGAGTGAGTGTGTGACTGTGTGTATGAGAGTGAGTGAGTGAGTGTGTGAGTGTGTGTGTGTGAGAGTGTGTGTGTGAGAGTGAGTGAGTGTGTGACTGTGTGTATGAGAGTGAGTGTGTGTGTTTGTGTGAGTGAGTGAGTGAGTGTGTGACTGTGTGTATGAGAGTGAGTGTGTGTGTTTGAGTGAGTGAGTGAGTGAGTGAGTGTGTGAGTGTGTGAGAGAGAGTGAGTGTGTGTGTGAGAGTGAGTGTGTGTGAGATTGTGTGTATGAGAGTGAATGTGTGTGTGAGAGTGAGTGTGTGTGTGTTTGAGTGAGTGAGTGTGTGAGTGAGTGTGAGTGAGTGAGTGTGTG